TTTTTATTAAAAAAATTAAACTTTTTAATAAAAACACAGGCAAATTTGCCTGTGTTACAATTTAAGGGATAGCAAATATTATGAAGACAGAAAAGGTATACTCAAGTATTTAATTCTATATATCGTTGTCAATTGTGATGCTTAAGTATTATCATGATTATTATCTAATTAATTGATATTAAATAGGTGACCCGAAGCTTTAATTTAGTTAGAGGAATTAAGACATCTAAAGACAATTAAAATATTTTTAAATCTATTTTTGTAATGTTCAGTTAATATTCTCTTTTTTTAATCAATAATTAGAACAATTGTTAAATAAAAACTTGTAATATTTATAAATAAAATAACGTTCACTCTTTTCTTTAACTAGACTTATCTTTTATATCAATAAGTTATTGTTTAATAGATGTTTATTGTTTAATAAATGATAATTGTTAATTAAATATATATAAGCATACCTATATTTTTATTTTAAGCTATCAAAATGCCTCATTTAACTAAAGTTCGTAGAAGTTGTAAAAATGCACGTCTTGCAAAAGTATTCAAGCCAAATAAACCTATTCAACAACAAATACCAACTTTTCAATTAATTCCAATTAAAAATAATATATTCAACCTATTAGAAATTGAAAATTCAGTTAATCAACAACAGACTTCAACCTCTCAATTAACTGCCTCACAAATAAAACAAATAAGAAAAGATTTAATAACAAAAATCAATAACTTATCTAAAAAAGAACTAATAGCTAGTTCTCAATTATTTGTTAATATAGTATATAAAACTGGAATCTATAAAGGAAGATTTTATTATCTTACTTGCAGAAAAAAGCTATAGAGTTAATATATGCAAGTCAAGGAATATCTAATTTTAATTTTCAAGAAACAATTAAATCATTAAAAGCTAAAAACTCAAAATTAACAAAAAAAATAAATTATTTAACTCGCAAGATAGAATCTTTAACACAAAAGCTTCAATATTTTAAATGATTTAAAAATAAACATATATCTAAAATTAGATCTGTTGTTCGAAAAAGACAAAAAATTTCTAATAAAAATTTAAACAAAGTGATTATTAAAAAATTTAAACAAAATAATCGTACATATACACCTGAATTTGTTTCACTAGCTACAAATATAAGCACTACGGGTTAAATATTAATAGCATCAACAGTACAATGCACAAAAGAAATAGTAGTATTTCTTACTGGTTATTCTTCTCAATCATGGTTATCCGCAAGTACATTATCTTGATGGACAAATGAAGTAGCACAAATTTCGGTGCAAAATAATTTACCTTAACTTTTTAATCGATTTAGTTTATATGGTATTCTAGCAAATAAAAGTACAAGAGGAGAAAAAAAAATATTTTTAATATGTATCTCCTATTGGAATGAAAAAAAACAAGAGCCTATGCTTACTATTATTAATATGAAAGATATAGACCAATGTTCAGCATCAACGGTTTCTTTAAGTGTTGGGGAAGCTATTATTAAAAATTCATTAAATCCAGCTCAATGCCAATATTGGCTTACAGATAATACAGCTTATATGTCTGGATCAACAGCTGGTGCTGTAGTTAAATTCAACAAACAATATTTTGCTAAAGCTTTTCGAATTCCCTGTGAACTTCATGCATTACATATAGCTTCAGTACATTTCAATAATATAACTTTTAGAAAAACCAAATCATTATCTGGAATTTGTTTAAAACCGCATCCATACAATGTTCTTAACTTAGCTTATTATTTTTATTGTGGGTACAATGAATCTGATAAAGATAATCCACTAAATATTAAAACAGAAATAATTAATGAATTATATAAATCATTAATAAATCATGATCTTAAAAAATATCAAAAGCCAATCTCTAC